TGGGAGCGCGCGTGCGTGCCTGAAGCAAGGGGGGGGCGTGGTACCCCGGCGCGGGGGTGCGTCACGGGGACGTGTGACGCCGTGTGACGTGATGTCAGGCGGGCGGCAGCAGCGCTGGCGGGGCGCGAGGCGTGCTGTGGGGCTCGGGCGCTGGGGGTGCTCGCCCGCAGCGGGGGGCTCAGGCTGATGAACAGCGTCCGCTGCTTCCAGGAGCGACGCTGCTAACCCACAGAGAGAAAAATTCTCGGCCCTTCCACGTCATTGTCAGCAATAATGACGTCATGGCGTGCAGAAGGGATGTCCATAGCACTGCGCAGGCTCCAGGAGAGTCCTGGCGGAGGTGCCCAGGGTGCCTCGTGGTGTGTGGTGGGCTGCGGGACCCCTGGGGAAGGACCGCTCCTGCAGAGTGGAGCAGGGCTTCCCCCCTCTCCCTTGGCATCGTAGGTGCTCTGTCCAGTGGGGACACAGTGCCGCACGGCTCGGGAATTGGCGCTGGGTTTGGTTGCTCCGGCTGGAAAGCAAGGGCTGCATGCCATCCCTGCGGTCACAAAGGTGAGGTGGGCACCGGGCTCACCTATGCCCGCAGCCTAAGGAGCAGTTAGGGGCTTGCTAGGGACGTTCTCCAGAATGGATCCATCACCAATGCTTGACGAGATCATGCCTTGTCTGAATATCGGGGATCGATGGTTTTATGGATTTACTGAGGTAGATCTTGTTTTGCTGGATAGAAATAGTCTCCAGTGTAAATGCTGAGCATGTTTCCCTGCCTGCTGTGATACCAGTGATCTTCCCACTGGTGTCGACCTGAGGATTGGCATCCTCATGGGAAGGGCAGTGGGAGAAAGGCCCAGGACCCTGTGACTCAACTGGGGTGGTGCTGCTCTCCGGGAACAGCCTGACAAAAGTACAAGTGGTGATGACCACCTCCTGCTGCTGATGAATCAATCACAAAATCCAAAAGAGATGTCTCCAAAAGCTGTTGTGTCTCCAGGATTTGGCCAACATCTGAAGACTTTTGGTCATTTTGGGGTTGCTTGGCCAAGGCGTTCACCCTAGGGAAGGTTTTGTCCTCTGGTGGCAAAAGCCTCCAGCTGTCCCGTCCAAGAGACGGTCCTCCATTGGTCAAACCCCACCCAGATGGAAAAATCAGTGGTCCACCGATTTTTCTTCTGCACAGCGCCGGGCTCTGCTGCTTGTATGTGCAGAGAGGGGATCCCAGCGAGCATCTTCTCTGTGAATGCCTGTGTCAAGCCACACATTGCAGAGTCACTCTCAGGAAACTGAACTAGAAGGTGGCACCCGTGTTTCATAAAACCGAAGGTATTTGCAGTCACAAGACCTCAGCAGGTGAACTAGCGGATTTGAATTTGTGTTGTCCCTTGGAGGCAGCTTGTGGCAGGACTGGCAGAGTGCAGGCAGTGCAGCGTGGTGGTTTGCATGTCAGCTCGTTGGCACTTTCTCTTGTACTGGAGCTGCATCATCTATTGCCTTCGGAGGAGCTGAAATTTGCCCTTTGCAGGCAGGGGAAGACAGTGGAACTGCAAGCCTGGCTTTGGAAATTAAAGAACCCGAACTGAACTGATACTGGACACATCTTCATGTTTTCCATTTCTTCAACATCTTCGTTGCCCACGTCCCTTTGCTGCGCTGCACCGACAGGACCTGGAAAGGGGGTGGCTGGGGCTACCTCGATGCAGCCGAGCCCATTGGCAGCCCCCATTGCAGATGTCCCCCCGTTGTTCCCAGACGGGCTGTTGAGTGCACCCAGGTGTCCCCAGGGCGACATCCCTGACCATGTGCCATGCCGCAGTAAGGAGGCACTCCTGAGTCCTTGGCGGTCTCTGGGACGCCCTGCGGCATAATGCAAGCTGATATTTTTCTCCCACTTTAGATGTGTATTTACACTCACTTTGTCTTAGTTCATCAGGAGATAGGGTTGCTCTCTGCTGTCGTTTCGGACAGATCCGAGGCTGCGGGCTGTTCTGTGCCTCTTCAGTCGAGTACATCTGGTAAATCTCAGATTTCAGAACAGTTTCATATACTTGCAGGACATTCATTTCCCAGCAATAGAGCTTGAAATGGCAGTGTGACAAATCAAGGGGTTCATTTCTGCAGGAACGTGTCTGTATTAGGAACAGATAAAATTTGTTTATGTGTAAATAAATCCAAACTAAACCAGGTCCTTCCTACTTTTTTGTTTAACTATACAAAGGAACTGTCAGTCCTAACTCGCTATGCCCTTACAATAAGTGTAATAAAATGAAACAACCCTAACGTTTGCTAGTAAGTTACCGTCAACACAACAGCATAACCAGAAAAAAGATTTATTGTCATCATAAGGCAATCATTTGTGTACCTACTGGAGTAATATAATGACTTAAAGCTTTTTCACATCGCATTTATGGTACAACTGTGAGGCTCCAACAAAAGCAGTGGCACTGGACTTGGTTTGCAACCTGCATTACAAACGTTTGAAATCGTTGATTGCTGGTGAAGAGAGGGTTGTGTGATGCTTGTGTGTAGCCAGCAGAACAATGGCTGAACACCAGCCTCAGATCTGCATCTTTATTTGGACTTAATTTTTCACTAATGCAGCTTTGGGAGGGGAATGAGTAAATCCATGTTATGATGCTCAGATCCTGCAATCAGAAAACCAGGAAATTGTGAATTATTTCATTGACTCCAGCGTGCTGCCCGTGGATACTATTTTTTTCTGTCTGCTGTACCACTGGGTATTAGCTCGGACATTGCCTCATGTCAGGGAATGAGAGAGGGAAGGGGCTGGTCTCTCACCCAACCTGCTCACAGTGGGACTGTCTCTAGCATGAGATCAGAGTGACTGTGGGTTTACTTAGCCAAGCCTTAAAAACCTCCCAGGATGGAGACCTCCCCATCACCTTGGTGACCTGTTCCAGGGCTCTAAGATGTGTCACTGGACTGCCTGGGAGGAAGAGCAGATCCTTTCCTCACTTGGCCACTGACTTGATGAGTTTTTGCAAGTGACTTTATCCTTTGCCTTGTTTCCCATCTGCCCTAAGAGCTACTGTTATCCAGCAGCAAAAGCAGCACCAAGTCTGGAACTACACCAAGTACCAAGCTCTGCAGCAAGCCCTTCACCCCAGAGCCTGTCTGTTCAGGAGAGTCTCCAACCCATCTAACCTGCAGAGACACTGTGGGTGGATCAAGACTGTATATACATACATACATATATATGAACCTAGAGCATGACAGCTGAGGAGGGTGCCAGGCTCACACGGGCATGCTGTGCTCTCATGTGTGCTGCTCAGGCCCTCACCCATGCCTACACCTTGGGGCAGCAAGGGAAAGCCCCAGGAAGGGGCACCCTGCAGTGGGATGCATTAAGAAGTGGGTGCAAAGGCAGCCCCCCACCCTGGGACATGCCTGCGCACGGCGGAGGGATTTCTCCAGCAAGATCTGGGCAATGCCTGTTGTTACACTCACTTGCCCTCCACAGACGGATCATCACTGGTGGCCAGGCCAAGCCGCAAGACGGCCGGCTCTTTATCCTATTACCAGTGCCAGGAGTTGTCCAGGTCATTGCAAGCCTCTTAGCTCTGCTTTTAGAGATCTATCTCTGAAATAAAGCTCTGTGATTATAGCTCTCCAGTGCACCCACCTTGTCTCTTTTCTGGACTCGAGAGTTCTGCTCTCTTTTTCCTCTCTGCCATCCCTTTGATCAGTAACTGTGGATTCACATCTTAATTAATACACATCCAAGGCTGTGAATTTGGAAGGGGACTGGTGATCCAGTCCTGTCTTGCTGGAAAACTGCTCTGTGCCGGGAGCCTGCTTCGACTCCTCCATGGGGCACTGGCTGTTTGCCTGCGTGTTGGTCGAGGGATGGAAGCAAGGAACAAAGTCCAAGAGTTCTAATGACTACGCAGAAGGACAGAGTTTACTCAAACAGAAGCATTTCTCCTCTCAGTCCTCAGCCCTGGAAGGATCCTGAGTCCCCCCTCCTCTCTGTTTGCTCTGAGAGTCTGAGAAAGGGCATAAAAGCTTGAGTTTCTAAGCAAAACATTGCAAAAAATGGTCCAGTTTCATTGCAAAAAGTTGGGAAAAGCTGCTGCCCTGTCCTTGGGAGTTCCCAGGATGAATGCACCCTGTTCAGACTGGGAAAAGTCTTTTTATAGAGAGCTGTGACTTGCCTTTCCTTTCTCTCTTCCAAATTCAGTCTGGAGAAGGAGATCTTTTCAAAGTAATCCAGTAGCCCAGGGAGGATTTGTACATGCAGATAGACCATAATCTCTGCTACAGCATAAGGGAGCCACAATGCAGCTCAGAGAAGGTTAAATGATTAAAAAATATGGCAGACATGGTAAGTATTTGGCATGTTACATGCAACAAAAGATGAACAACAGCAACTGGGACATTATCTTTATTTGCTAAAAATAGACTCCCACAAAGTTTAAAGAAAAGCACTTTATACTTGTAAACCTCTCGTCTTGCTGTTAAAGAGCCTTCAAAGATGGGCTTTGTGGCTTTGCGATGTCGCGTCCTCTTTCAAAGGCTACCCAGGGCTCAGACAATTGAAACTCAATACAATGTCAGCCACGATGGGGGGAATAAATAGTTCTGACATGACCGTGCTTTTCTCACTCGTCAGGAACTGATGTGTGAACTGGAGCTTTGTGGCAGGTACGTCCCCCACACAGCCACATCCTGCACCTGCAATGCCCATGGCACAGCCCAGGTCCCCCAGCCATGCAGGGCAGAGGCA